ATCTCTGGTTATTTGCACAAGGTTTACTTCAGTTTCCTGCCATCTTAAAAACACTTTTAATGACAGCTTTATGCTATTACTTACTGAGCTTCTCTGCTGTATTTCTTTGTATTTGGAAAAAAAAAATAAAGATGAAGATATGGTCCCTGCCCCAAGAAGGCTATGATTAAAACAAGACCAGCATTCTAGAAACATATATTCTAGCTGGCCTCTAACTGGATGGTCTGTTTAGTTTTGTTTTGATGTATTGTATGAAGCAGCATTTAACAGATGTTGGGAAATTAGCTCTCTGAGCTTCTTGTATAAACTTAGAGCAGAGATTCATGTGTATGAATTAATTTCATCACTGAATGTGGGTATTAATGTCATCAGGCATTTTTAAATGTTTGTGCCTATTCTGCTGTACTTTGAGGCCTTCTTGCCAGAAAATATAGAAACTACTCAGGAGAAAGTGCCTCAGTTGTAGCAATATTTTCTAGCACCATACTGACGATTCTCTTCTGTGGTGAGAGATGTTGCCTTGTACAAGCTCAGCAGTGGAAAAAAAGGAAGAGTGTCAATTGTTTCATTACATACCCTCTACACACAGTTTTGACCAAAAAAACATCCCCCAAAAAACCCAAAGTGGAGGGGTCTCCCTGTGTCTTTACACCAAGTTGTCCCTCTTATTTTCAGTAATGCTAATTTATCATGCAAATCCTGTAGTTGATATTCTTATGGCTGCTCATATCCCAGCTGAAACAGCACACATCCAGCAAGGTGACAGATTTTCCCACTCCTCTTTTCCAGGAGAATCGAGTGCTGAGGATTAGATTCCTTTTTACAGCTTCCAGGACAAAGTCACACCAGCATGAGGGGGGGAGCTGACAAAGCAAGGCTTGCCCCTCTGTGCTGTGTATGGGCAAGAAAACGCAGGTCAGGCAGAGAATGGAAACAAGACCTGGGACAAAGCCTAAAACAGAACAGAATTAGAAAGGAAGTGTAGCTGACAAACTGACGCAGAGATTTCATAATTTCCACCTGTATTTAATGTACTTTACATATCACATCTGTATTTTTTATTTATTTTTTTATTTTGTGGCCTCCTTAGTTTAATTTTCATACACTGAAGTCTTAAGTGCTTCTAAAACAACAGCTATGGTTTTAAAAGATCATTTCACACCCACCCCACTCGTTACAACAGATTAACATGCAATATTAATTTAGGGTGAGTGGGCACAGATGTTATCAAAATCACCCTCTTACCTGCCAACTCCATCAAATTTTCCAGTGCTTGGATATTTTCTTCCACTGATGTGTGAAATTTTATTGTAATGTTCTCTGTGTCTTTTTCCCCCCCAAGATGTTTCATCCAGTTACTAACCTGCATATGGCTTCCTCCTCTATCAGCTGTCTGAGCTAAAACAATACTTCGTGACAATCACTAAACAGAAAAGCATCTCTGAAGATACTGATGTGATTAGGTGTGAGGCCAAGAGCCTGTGCTGAGTGCTAGAAGAGCACTTTATAACCACAGTAAATCAAACTTTGGGCTAGACAACACAGCAGAGAAGTCACGTGATGTGAAATATGAGTTGGGAGAGAATGCAATAGAGAGGGAAGTGAAAAGGCATATTTAAACTGGATTTTCATTTTCCAGTGTTACCAAAGTGTGAGTTAACCAGTCAGCTTTTCTTTGCTGACTCTGAATTCTCTTCCTTACTTCAATATTGTGCTGCTAACACACAACTGCACAGCAAAACATGCAGATATGAGCACTCTCTGTGCCTCAGGCCTGTGAAAAGCTATGGTAACACAGCACTAAATCTGGACAATGCACCCTGTCCCTCAGCAAGGACTAAGAGCTCAGGATCAGCTTCATGGTAACAGCTTTTGAGCTGTCTGGAATGGAGGCAAAGTGAGTTTTATCTTCCCACAATGTACTTTGTGGAGCTATCCATATTGGGTCAAATTTGGAAGAAGCACTGAAAGATTTTTTAATACATGACTGTGCCATACACCAACAGAAAGCAAAGTGCATTGCAAAGGAGGGAAGCATCACTGCCCATATTTCATGATACACAGTATTCAGACAAAAAAAAAGCAACACAATGGTCAGGTCTGAGGTGTGGTTCAGGTCTCCACTGCCTTATCCACCAGAAATATTGTGACTCTAACTGGCAGTAGCAGGATTGTTCATATTCTTGTAATATATTCATAATATTCAATCCTATAATTCTTTATATTAAATCCCATGTTTATCAACAAATGGATAAATTACAAACCCTACAGTGCACTCTACACAGCCTGATTTTTTTCCCTAGTTTAATGCCTACAGAATCAAGGCAGAGTTATGTCAATCTTTTGTAAAAATGGGCATAATTTTAAATTCTGTAAACTGGCAAAAGCAATCCCAGTACCCATATAAAAATATGCACTGCCTGTCAAGTTTCATATCTTTACACAGAAAGTGAAAGAAAAAGCTCATAATTTCCTAGAATTATGCTTTGATTACAAATTACTTAATGTTCTATATTAGTCTTAATATAAAGAAGTTGATTGTATGCAATACACAGTGTCCTGAGTTGCTCTGTCTTCTTTTGTGCTTAACTTTATTTTCCAAAAACATGATGTAACATTAATTCTAGCCTAGAATTCAAGTTTGTTTAAACTTGGTTTCCTTCTGTGACATTGTATCAGGGACCCATTTGGATTTAAGTATCTCACAGGAATTGTGTTGTTTAGAAACATGTGCTGCCATCGTGTGGACATTAAGAAGTGCAAAAAATAGCTTTAAAAAAAATTGGGAAACAGGTATTTGTTACTGGGTATCTGTATTTGTTATCGTGAATCAGATGAATTATAAATACATATTATATAAGAGCTCTGCACAAATCTGTGGGTTCAACGCTGCTAATGGAATCAGGAATATTGATTCAATCCTGTTGATTTGCAGCTCCAGGAATCCTTTCCAATGAGCACAAAGTGATCAAAGCACACAAGTCTCCAAGCTACTTTTAACTGGCACTCAATTCCAACATGACCTGCTTTTGTACTCATTCCTGTATCTGTTTATCTCTTTGTTTTTCCTCTAAGTCTTTGCAAAATTTGTTTTTGTACAGCGTGCACTGCTTTCCTTCCACTCTAACACACACACAAACTCTCCTACCCAAAACATTGGACAGCCCAGGCACCCTCCCACACAGTCCTCATTCCTGCATGAGTTCACACGAAGCTTTGTTTCAGAAATGGTTTTGGTTTAAGGCCTCTTCTTGTTTCCTACATTTGACCCAGAGTTAAGAGACTTAGAGTCAAAATAGCTGCATTTAATACCAGTAAAAGTCCACAATGGCCAAGTTAGAAACACTAAAGTGCATTCATGAAGTTTAAGTCTTACTAAACTTAAGTATCTACAAAACTTTATCCACTAAACTTTAATATCTAAAAAAATATAAGCAGATTTATGTCAATCCATTGTGAAAATGTGCAAATTTTAACCTCTGAATATTGGACTATTAACAGACCCTCTAGAAAAACTTTGCATATCATGTTAATTATCCTTACATAGAAAATAAAAGGAAAAAGTGAAAAAAGTCCCTAAAGATAATTTCCTCTATGACAGCCCATCTCTAATAAGTCTGTAAAGGTTTGCACACAAGGAGTGTGATTCTAAAGCTGTCCTCTGCAGTCCCTCAAAGCAAACTTGCTTGTCACAGCAGCATGATCTGCCTGCTGCTCAGACACCCTGTATGCCAAATGCCAGTTAGTTGATGCTGCAGTCTGCTGACTTAATTTATATTGCATAAAGGTAAAACTTTGTAAGCCTTGCCTGTGGACTTCAGATTATTTGGGAATAGAGCTGAAAGATATGTTTGGACCAACCCCTTCTTTTGTGGAAGTTTAGTGGGAATCTTTTATGAATGGAGATCAGTATTGTATTTTACTTGGGTACTCACATTGTACAGAAAGAGCCTGCTCCTGTGGTACAGTAGGACATGAAATAAATATATATTTAACTAAATGGATATCATGGAATGCCATACAGTAGAAGATTCTCTGAGATGCTTTTTCAGCTTCTACATAAAGACAGGCAAATCTGCAGTAATGATATCTGTTTTCCAAGTCTTTGCATTTTATATTTGGTTGATTTTGTTTTTAAGAAAATGTGAGTTTCAAAGGCCTTATTTTTTCTTTTCATGTGGCTACTCTGATGTCTAGGTAGGAATATAGACTACAGTCTTTTTCTTACTGGATAAACTTGCAGCATGTCATATCTGTTTTCTGCTTTGGCATTTACTTTCATGAAACTTGTGGGTACCCAATTTTCTTTGACAATTTTACCTTATTCTCAAACTTGTTAGAAATTACAATGGATTGGAAAATGCTGGGTGGGTGAGAAGTAAATGGAACATGGTGGTGCATGGAAAAGGCTGTTGTAAGTCTCTAGTCTGTATCATTGTGCTCAAGTTCTTGATTACCTGGTATTAAAGTGTTTAGAATACATGGAAAAACATAAAAAACTCAATTTATATCCATGAATTAGAAGCTAATTTCAAGATAAAAAAATCCCACTTGTGATTTAATAATTGGCAATGTTGTGCTAGATGGTGGGTGGAACCAACTTTCTTTCAGCTGAACTTTAAATGTCAAAGTATCTCATGATAACTGTGCGTGTGTTTGGTTTTCAGTGTTTTGGAAACTGTCCACTCACCCTTTTAAAAATTGTGACACTGGTTTGGCTGTGGAAGAATTGGTTAAATATACTCCAAGTGCCAGTAATTCAATGAAAATCTGTTAGGTTTCCTGGGTGCCGACAACTTCTGTCATCAGTGAAGGTGAAAATGGGAAAAGGAGCCTTTCCTGATTAACAATTTTCAATGTGTTGTTCCTCAAACATTAAGAGTTTTTTGCCCATTATAACCTTGATGAGTTAATGAGATTATGCAATATTACTAATGGCAGACTTTCGTTTCTATTTTTAAAACAAACATCTCTGAAATCTAAACAGAAAGAAACAAGAATTAGAATCTCATCAACCTCTCCTGGCTGTAGTCTTGGGCTTTTACGTTCTCTGTCTTTTCATGAAACTCATTCCTCTTATACCCTTCTGGGAAAGCTTGGGGTCTGTCAAACATTGTACCATCTTCAGGACCAGGATTTCCTGTTATTATCTCCCAGTAATTCTTATCGTCTTCAACTCTGTGGGAGTCGAGATAATTGTGACAAATAACTTCAAATTCTCTTCCAAAATGAGACCTGCAAAGTCAAAAGAGATAGGATAGGCAGGGAGAATTAACATAAATACAAATTCAGCAAATCTTCATTACTTGTGAATTGTTTGAGATTTTCTCATTTTTCTCTTGGTTTACTCAGAAATAGCACCATGCACTTTCAAATACCAGACCCTTACAACAAACACAATAACCCACTTTTTTTCCTATGAATAATATAGGAATTTGAAATTCAAACTAAATGCCACCTTTCTAGCCTCAGAGCTACAAGTGCCCCAGCAGAATAAGGCACTGATACACCAACTCATAGGCCCTCATTCCCACTTCTCTCTGACTGAAGAGGTTTCTGGCTACTTAATAACTCCTTCAGCCTGAAACTTTCAGACTTCCATCCTCAAAAACTTTACACAAATCCTCAGTCAAATCTTGCTAAGAAGTTAATGGAAAACATTGGTATACTACTTAGCAAGGCCTAATCAATATTAATTTAATGCATGTATATTAACTGAATTGAGGGATTAACTTCAATTTGTTGAGACGTTGATTGAGATGGACATAAGCATATAGAGTTCTATGCAATGTGGTTTTATTTAGTTCCCTTGTTCCTTACACTTCTTAGTATATCAATTTTTTTCCTTCAAAAGTAATCCAAAAAACTAACTTTGTTCAAGACAGTCAAAGGGAGAACCACCAAGAAACTAGAGAAAGCTAAAATCATGATATGATAATGAAAAATGAAAAAAAAAAAAATCCAAACAACTAAATCTGATCCAACTGCCTGCAGCAACACAGCAGCACATGTCACAGCCAAGAAGTAAAATAAGGGAAAGGAGAATGGCATTCTGCATTATTTTCCATTTCTTCAGTGCATTCCTAAAGTACTTCTCTTGCTCCTCACAGTAATTCTTGATGTTGGCACATCACTGTGCACACCCCTGCCAGTTTAAGTTATTCTTACCACACACAGAAGGTCCTTGGAACAGCTAAGTTGCGATTGGTGTAGCAATGAGTAATAATAATTTTAGTTTCTGCCTGGAAAAAAAAGAACAAATTTTTTGAAGGCACTTGACAAACATTTTTAAATCAATATTGTGAATAAAAACTGTCTTCAACAATTAGTGAATTTTGACTGTGTTTATTAGTGAGCTTATTCATGTAAATGAGTCTTAGTTCAAGGCTGTAAAGGAACAGTTGTATTTGTGATATTCTGTTGTATACCAGCACTTCAGGAAGCCTAGCAGTTATCTGGTACAGGAAAACACTGTATTTGCAAAAGGTTGAAAACATTTGGAAAATCATCCACTTATTCAGATGCCTTAAGAATTTCATTAGACATTTAATGTACATACAGGACCTCTTATTTAATCACATCTCCAAATATTGGAAATGGAATTTACTGTCTCAAAAGGCCTGAAAAACAGGTAAGTAATGCACCCTCACAACATAATGTCAACCTTTGAAAATTTCAAAGTCTACCTCAAAATGAACAGTAGAAACAAATATTAATATAAGCAAATTCCCTAATTAAAGAGATTGTTCCTTCCCTCTCCCTCTTCCTAAGAGTAGAAGTCAGAACCGGCACAAGGGAAATATGTGAATAAAATCAACATAACATTGTTTTTCTTAGTAGTCCACCTGTTCCAGTTAAATTTTTGTAACATTTCCTACAGTTTAAATTTCTTACAGGAACTGGAAATCCTTCATGTTCAAGACGCAGTTGTGGATCCAAGGACTTAGCTTGCCAGAAAGTCAAATAGGAAAGCTCAGATGTCAAATATACTTTCTGAAGGCGAGATTTTTTAGCAAAATCTTTAAATGTTTTGTGGTCACTTGCCAGATAAAACTGTAAATAAAAATATACATTAAGGACGGTATTAATGTAAAAGAAACAAGATATGTAATTTTAAAATATATTTTTGAACAAAAAACCTTTTCCCTTGGCTCCTGACAGACCAGTCTTACCAGCTAAAACTATGCAGGCAAAACCCATAGGATAGATTCTATATGCAGATTTGTGAATGTTCTTGGAAAATTGAAGTTACACTCCAAATAATTTTATCTCACCAAAGTGATTGTTGAAAAGAAAAACTTTTTCAAAGCTATGGTGATTTGAGTGCACACATACATGTAATGCCTTATTTGCTTTTAATTTGCAGAGGGGAAGAATGTTAGTATTTAATAGAAATCTGCTTCTTCAGAATGACAGAATAGTGCATGACTTTATATTCCTACTGTGGATTATCTTCATCAGAAAGGAAATCTCAGATTCTCTTCTGAGTTGGAAGGGACCCACGAGGATTAAGTCCAACTTTTAAGTGAATTGTTCAAAGTGAAAAAACCCTAAAATCTCCTTGAAGAATTCTTTCCTGATTCACAATCTAATTGTGATTTCTTTTTCTTTCCTTTTTTAGATTTCCTTTATTCAGTCATTCTGGCTAACAGCCCCTTTGGTCTGCACACCTGACCTCAGGCAAGTAGCATGAACTTTCAAATTAGGTATTTCTTATCTTGGTCTATGCATGACTCTGAACCTGTTCTGTAAAACTAAGATGTTGCACAAGTGTACAGCTTTATCTGTCTGTTCTTAGAGAGGGATTCAATGCACATTATCAGTGTATGCTACCACTGCCAGTTGCAACTTTATTGCCTTACCAGTTTGTCAGAAACCCCTCCTTTTGTCCCAAGAACAAAGTTTTGCCCGTATCTAAGTGGTTCACCCACTGCACTTCCATCAACACTGTAAAAATTGTAAAAAGGAAAAAAGGTACATTAAAATCATAAGTTTTACTATTGGTTTAGGTTTTTTTGTCTGTTTTGGTCTAGAGTAAGATGTTGCTTTCTGACAACATTTTGTATTATTTACCTTCTAAAATAGGTAAAATATCTTAACCTAAGGCAGAGCCTTTGACTATTGAGCAAGACCCTGTTCTCCTGTTTCTTCTCCAACAAACAGCAGCAAATTAAATACATATTTGAGAGAGAGAATATGCTGGGTGTTTTAGAACAGAACCATGTCCACTTCATGGAAAGCAAAAGCAATGACACATATTTGTGCTTGCAGCAGAGAGAATATTAATAGTAGTGATATTTGGACATGTTTTGTCTGCAACAAAAAATAGCTGCAGAATTTACCAAATGATACAGTGGACTTGATTTTGTCTTCACACCTAAGCTGATTTAGAGGTCCTTGGAATTAATCAGAGTAATATGCAGCACAGAATCAAGCTTAATGCATGACTGAAGACTCTTTCTTAAATAAATTAAATTTACTCATATACATTTGTATATTAGCAAACTTTGTTGCATATTTCTCAAAGCAATATACCTGAAGCTAAATCTAGAATTGAAAACAACTCAGAATAAAGTAGCAGACCTTACAATACAGAAAGCATTTCGACCTATGGGGTCCACGCTCTTGACTGCACTAAGTCCACGAGAGAGCTGCAGGGGTTCGTCCTTGTACAGGGATATTTCCTCCATGTCAACAGCCAGAGTCACATCACCACGCATTTCGGGCTCCCTCTCCCCCGAGGTCCCTTCCAAATCCGAGGATTTTTTGTCTGGGTTCATAAGCAACACGGTGTCTCCAAAGTGAACAAATCCGTCAGAAGATACCGACAGCTCTACCTAAATTAGAATTTACATAGTATTTTATAGAGCTATCTGAACCTACCATCAGAAGTATTTTAATATATAAATTCCGTAGCGTTCTTAGAGCATGCAGAACAATAATAAGAGTTATGCCACTCTGTGGGGAGTCATGGGGAGGTGGACATAACCCTCTTTAAAAATTACCCTCTTAAAAATATTCTCTTGAAGTTTTGCTAATCTCTGTATTAAAAGTTGTCCTTGCTCTCTCTTACGGATAAAATCCCTCAGGAGTTCCTGTTGGCAAAGGAGAGAGGAGCAGATATGTTATCCAGCACCCACAATCTCGCGTTTAAAGTGAATTTAGAGATCCGGGGAGCAGCCCGGAGCGGGGCAGGCGGGGATGCCCGGGGATGGCGGTACCTGCTGCGCGTACTCCTCCTCCAGCCAGTTCCCCATGCGGACCCCGAGCCCGTAGGAGGCCATAGCCGGGCCGGGCCGCGTCCCACGTCGCCATAGCGACCGCGCCGCGCCGCGATTGGTCAGCCCGGGGAGGGCGGGGCCGTGATTGGCCAGCCCGGGGAGGGCGGGGCCACGATTGGCCGGCCCGGGGAGGGCGGGGCCGCGATTGGCCAGCCCGGGGAGGGTGGGGCCGCGATTGGCCAGCCCGGGGAGGGTGGGGCCGCGATTGGCCAGCCCCCGTGGGCTGGAAGGGGGCGGGGCCTGAGCAACGGTGAGGGCGGAGGGGAGTGTGAGGGACTGCGAGTTATGAAGTTCTTGGGCGGGGAAAAGAGCGTTCGGGTCATCCCGTCCCACTGTAAATCCAACACTGCCAGGTCCACGCGTAACCGCGCCCCCAAGTCCACACATCTCTTAAATACCTCTTGGGGTGGTGACTCCACCGCTGCCCTGGGGAGTTTGTTCCAGTGCTTGGCAATCCTTCCAGTTTCCAGTCTGAATTTCAACAGAGCAACTGTGAACAGCTGAGGCTGTTTGCTCTTGTCCTACCACTTAACATTTCAGTCTCTTCCGAGCAGTAAGAACAGCTCAGGTCACTCAAGTGCCCCTCTTCAGGCAGTGGCCTTTTACACTCCATATTAGACAAAGGGCTGCAACAGTTTAGCACAACAAATTAGTTGACTCCATTATCACTGCACTATCGGTGAATGCTGTCAATCATAGAATAGTTTGGGTTGGAAGGGACCCTTAAAATCATCTCGTTTCAGCCCTCCCCTGTCGTGGACAGGGACGCCTTCACCAGCCCAGGTTGCTCCAAGCCCCATCCATCCTGGCCTTGGACATTTCTGGGGACGGGGCAGCTACAACCTCTCTGAGCCCTTATTGTGAAAATCTTCATGTTTCATGTGAGTCAATGCATCAGGGGAATGTTTTGATTGTAAATGTTTTGCTTTGTTGTTATCTTGGTTTGAAATCTACACGGCAAGTGAAGCTAAGTGAGTATGCCATGTGTTTATTTTCCAGACAGACTAAGCCAACGATCTTCAGAGATAGTGTGGGTCCTTGCACAACGCATTTAATCCCTTTACAACTGTCACTGTTTTCTTGAAAGCTTGCTATTGTAACATTTCAATTCTGGACAACTTACAAAGGTTAAAAGAGATGGGATTTTTGCATGGACAGCTGTGCTACATGTTATTATGTGATTGTCAGGCAGTTTTGACAGTAATTCATGTGAAACTTGGCTCTTTCCTGTTTGTTTTTTAACCCAAAAGTTATTACTCAAAAAGTTATTTAGCGCATGCCAAACTTTTTAAGGACCAAATACTATCAATTTTTGTTCAAATAGCACCACTCAGTGTTCAGTTGTGGTAAGTGACGCTTTCCTACACCTAGCTCTGTTGTCAGCAGTGCTGAAACTGTGATTAAACTAAGGAAGAAATTTCGTTCATCTTAGCCGAATGTCAAAAGCCAAACATCTTTTTCTTGTTTCAGAATTAAGCCACTTAAATCAATATTCAGTAATAAATCATTGTTACAAAATCATCTATTGTATTTAGCTGTGTCTTTAAGAGCAGGTGAGCTGTCTTGCTGTAGCATGTAGTTAATATATAGAATTCACAGCAAGCTTCCATAGTTTTGTAGCCTTATGCAATGTCTGTACTTAGTTACTTATACATTCTGATGCAGAGATAAGTATTTGTACTAAAATGCAACTGTGCACAGAGAAATCTCCAAGCATCTCTTAGCAGGAAGATCGAAGGAAGGATTTAGTTACTGATTATGTAGTAGTTCATGTAAACAAAGAAAAACCACTCCCTATAAAGATGTTTGAAAACTGAGCATCTTTCCTGCAGGAAAGATTACAGGCCTATTCAACTCAGCTCAGTTTCCTTTTGTGCAGATAAAATCTGTGTTTACTCCTAACAGTTGTTTGCTTTATTAAATGGTGTGAAGAAAAGCTGTGCTTGTAAAAGAATTGATCTATGTTTTGTGTGCCAAGCTATGCCAGAATACAAATTGACCAGAATTAAAGGTCTATGGGAATTACTGAAAACAATAGTATTACCCTTTTCTTTTTAAGTCACTGTTAAATAAAATTATAGCAAGCTACTTTCAGAGACTCTTCTCCCACTGTTTGGAGTTACAGATCTTTTACCCTTTTTATCTTCTCCTTTTGTTTTTTTAATAAAATATAACTAGATGGTTGAGAAGACCCCAAATAGCACATAGAGCTGTCTAAGCCATTAGTTTACATAAAAAGTTGGGCTAGTTAGAATTTTAGTTGCCTTAAACTTGTCAGAAATTTGTCAGCTAGAATATGTTTTAAATACTTTAAACTATAAATGCATTGGTATATACCAATAGTACAAATTATTGTGTGTGGTCCAGTCTGGCTAACAGGAATGAATGAAAACATATATTAAGTCCATGAAAGATGAATATGATCTTAGAGAAAGTGGCAGAGCAAAAAATACTAAAAATATGTTATCAAATCACACACACGTTGGATGAAAATGTTTTTAATACCTGCATTTTCTGCCTTGGGAGTGTGTCTATGGATTTTTTCCCTGTTTCCTTTTTCCTTTTGAAAATTGTGAGTATGCCAAATTTGATTAACAATACAGACTTAATAATGCTGCACAGGAGTAAAACCTTCTCTGGTACAATTTTTCTCCTTTCATATTATTATTTTACATTAGCATTATTCTGACACATGCTTTGAATCAGTTTTCTTTGCTGTTACTAGGTTTATGGAAATTAAAGTGATTAATATGCTTGTTAATAATATAACTACAGTTTCTTATTTTAACCTATGACCCAAACACTCCTCTGTTCACAGAACAAAAGGAATGAAGTAGTTTATGTGATATGATTTAAGGATTGTTGTTTTGCTACTTGTGGGGATGCCTCCCATTTTGGCTGTGAATTCAGTGTGGAGTTTTCCTGTAATGCTTTTTGCTGGGAAACAGTGAACCTGTTCATGGTGCATTATTTTCTGAAATGCAGCAATCCATTAAACAGATCTTTTAGTCTACCTTTGACAGAAATGTGAAGCAGGATTCTTGTTTGCCATATTGGCAGTAAGTTTGCTGATACAGGTACATGAGTGGAAATTGACCCTATATGGGTCAGGTTAAAGACATCCAAAATATTATTGTTCATTTGGTGTTTTATAACCAAAAGATTCTGCTGGAGAAGGAGGGAAGGGGAAGGGAAGAATTTGCAGTGTGTCTAAGACCACCAAAAACTTGCCAGTTTGCTAACTTGGATTGAGTCATCTCCATGGTGCTTTCTACCGGTTTCTAATTTAGATTTGTACAGAGAATTCTCTTCCTGGAAATTTTGTAATGAATGTTTTCTCTTCAAATTGAGATGTTCCATCATGATTGACTGTGCCAGCTATTTGAAGATTTTTCTCCTCTGCCTGGCTGAATTTCGTTCAACAGATGGACTTGAAAAACCACTAGAGTTCTGTATCTCACAGAAAAATATTGTCATTCCAGAAACAGTAATTTATGAAAAGAATATAGAAATTTTAAACTATGTGTCCAAGAAATAACACTGTCTTTTTCAGAGATCTGTATTAAATCCAAATAAGCTAAAATACTTTCATCAGCAATAAATAGTTTAGTGTGAACAGAAATACCATTGACAAAGCACTTTTGCTTCTTACGTTTATCTCTTCACAGGACTCTGCATTATGTATGTCTCCCTTAGGCAATTTAAAAATGCTCATTTTCCAAGCTGTGGAGTATTTCTCCAAGGTGTCTGACCAGAGCAGTGAGACTGGCCATGTTATTGGCTAAGAGGAAGTCTCAGCTGGCACCTTTTAAGAACTGCTTGCTGGGGACCTACTTGAAGAGACTTGTGATGTTCACCCTCTTCCAAGGTATGGAGCGCATTGCATGTGCTGAACTGCAGAGTTCTGTCATCAGCCACAGGCACTGACACAAAATCATTGTGGCTGAGGCATGGTCCTATTTATAGTGGAAATCAGGGTGGAAATCAGGTCACTGTCTCTCATGGTTACTGATCTGTTTAAACTTAAGTTTCCATGAATATTCATGCTTGAGATTTTGAAATTTGCTTTTTGTTAGCAATTTTTGTATGTAAAAAGCAACAGCATGATTGTCTGTAGAGAAAAAAGATAGCCCTAAGCTCCATGACTTAAGCTGACTGACTGTGTGGGTTGTTCAGGCATAAAGTTCTGCCAATGTGAACATACTGCTCCTGAAACTGGAAGGCAACATTTCTGCATGACCTCTTGTGACCCAGATCCTTCTGTTTGTTCCCACTTTAGGGCTATCTATAGATAGTGCTCAGGGTTTCTTTGCTTCCCTTTTTAGCTTTGAGCATGATTCCTCTCCTTTATTGTGAATTGTCTGTTGGATCAATCATTCCCCTGTGATGTCACTTTCCTCCTTTTGGATTTTACTACCCTGTGAGGATAATGCTAAGATAGAAACCAGTCTATTCCCTTCCACTGGGCAAATACAGTCTCCAGTCTTGAAGCAAAGTAAGATGTAAACAAATAACACTGGAGATCTGGGTCGGTCTGTCTTCAAACCTTCCCCAAATTTGTTTGTTAGAAACTGTATCCCACTGGCCCCTGTCCTGGGGTGACTCAACACCCCCATTAGAAGCTTATTAGTAGTAGTTGAGGTTTAAAGATAAGGAAATTGTAGAGATCAGAATACTTTGGTTCACATGAATCTGTGTTACATAAAATGAACTGTCTAGAAACGGGAACAGAAACTGATTTATGTATTTATACCGCAAAACATGAATCAGTTAAATATTTCTGGCAGAGCAAAAAGGAACGTGATGAGAATCTTTTGTCCTAAGGGGGAAAGAACATGTGTATTGTAATTGTTTTTAACATTTTCTGCCACCATTCTGCTATTTATGGTTTCGAATTGGCTGACCCTACTCTGGCAGTGTATTTATGCCAGACATCATGGCCTACAGAAAATATTTTATATGTCTGAAGACCCTGGAAACTGTTCTAATTTGAGGCTCAGAGC